CCATACCCCCCACCCACCCCACACCCAACAGCCACCCCAGGATCCCCTCCCAAGCACTGCTCAATCAGCAGCAACCCAACCCCAAGTGAGGGGCGTCCATTTGTGTCTTTCTCAATCCACTCGCTGTCCTTGGACCTGCTCCTTTTCTGTGACCTCTCTGGGGACGCTTTTTGGGGCACAGCTGGACTACCCTGGAACACCCTCTGGTTGGGTTTGGAGAGGTACAAGAAAGGCAGGGAAGCAGTAGGGCCTGCGTGCTCCCCAGCAGCAGTCCGAGCTGGCTGGCTGTCCCACATGCCACTGCCCTAGAGCCTTCTGTTCTGCCCTGCACCCTTGCCCAACTTTCCTCGATTGCCTGAGTCCCTGGGTCCTGAAGGTTATGGGTTTCCAAGAGCTTCTGATCTTTCCTTTAGGAATTCCCAATCGCTGGGAGGACAGATTGTGCTGGGAGGCAGCGACCCACAGCATTATGAAGGGAATTTCCACTATATCAACCTCATCAGGACTGGCCTCTGGCAGATTCCAATGAAGGGGTCAGAAATCCTCAACACTCCCCAGGCTCCAAAAATTGCTGTTGTCACTGGGGTTGGGGAGGGTGGGGAAGGGGCAACCTGCCCTCTTTCCAATGCAGCCACTTCTTAAGCACAGCCACCATTTGCTCTCTGCCTGCTCTGTCCAGCCTGGGGAACAGAGAAGGGAGGGACCTGGGAAGCAGTGGAGGGTGACAGTACCTTCCCCCCTCCACTCACTGCCTCAATGGGCCACCAGCGCGGTCTCCACCCATCCACCCGCACTCAGGAAGGACATGCAGCCTGGAGGTGCCCCATCGGCCTTCTGTGTGTCTGACCGACTGTGGCCTCCCCCAGGGTGTCTGTGGGGTCATCCACCTTGCTCTGTGAGGACGGCTGCCTGGCACTGGTGGACACCGGTGCATCCTACATCTCAGGCTCTACCAGCTCCATAGAGAAGCTCATGGAGGCCTTGGGGGCCAAGAAGAGGCTGTTTGATGTAAGAAGCCAAAGAGGGAAGGTGCTGCGGGTGGGGGGAGTGCCACCTGGTCTTCGCTCACAAATCCCCCAGGCAGCATGAGGTCCCAAATGAGGCCATCTCAGGCCTTCGCTTGTTCGCCTCACACTCTCCACACGTGTGGCCCGTCACCCATGGAGAGGGGCACTGTGCCCAGCCCTCTCCAGCAGAGAGTCCAGGCCGCCAGTACAGGACCCCTTGTCTGCTGAGATGCCTTCCGCACTCAAGAAGGCTCCCTTTGCCCCCCACCACAGTATGTCGTGAAGTGTAACGAGGGCCCTACACTCCCCGACATCTCTTTCCACCTGGGAGGCAAAGAATACACGCTCACCAGCGCGGACTATGTATTTCAGGTGAGGTTCGAGAGGGCCCCCTCAGTGGCAGGGAGGAAGGCTGGACAGAGACCCCCAAAGGAGGAAAGATTACAACGCTCGGATCATGTTAGAACCATAGTTCGCAAACTTGGCTGTGCATGTCACCTGGAGAGCTCTGAAAAAACCTGGTACCGGGGCCACATCCCCTACCTATTAAATCAGAACCTCTAGGAGTGGTACCTGGGGCTTGGTCTCCCCGGGTGATTCCAATGTGTGGCCATGTTTGGGAATCACTGGGCCTGTTCCCTCATCTCCATTTTCTCATCAAATGCTCCCGGTAATCTTAGGCTCCTACATTCAGATCCTCTTTTCGTCATCAATAGGCTTAGAGAAGTTGAAGAGCTTGTCTAGGTTCAGAAGCTAAGGCGAACTGTGGCCTCCTATAGGAAGTATGGTGCCTGATGCATTGTTTGCCTGGCATCTAGCAAAGGACCTAAATGCAGGAGTGGTACAGTCCACGATGGAGCAAAACGGCCAAGAAGTGAGGGAGGCTCCGTGTGGCTCGGGGAGAGGGGGCGAGAAGGGGCGATGTGACTGAAGACAGCTGCTGGGGTCAGGCAAGGTGACAGGAGAATGTTCAGGTGCTGGGTAAGGAAAAACTCTCCTCCTTCCTGCAGGAATCCTACAGTAGTAAAAAGCTGTGCACACTGGCCATCCACGCCATGGATATCCCACCACCCACTGGACCCACCTGGGCCCTGGGCGCCACCTTTATCCGAAAGTTCTACACAGAGTTTGATCGTCGTAATAATCGCATTGGCTTCGCCTTGGCCCGCTGAGGCCCTCTGCTGCCCAGGCAGGCCCTGCCTTCAGCCCCGGCCCAGAGCTGGAACACTCTCTGGGATGCCCCTCTGCCTGGGCTTATGCTGTCACCTGGAGGCACCCGGTATGGAGCTCCTGCTGGAGGCGTGCCCTGACCCCTGCACCAGCCCTTCCCTGCTTTGAAGACAAACAGAATAAAGACTTCATGTTCACAGCCTGTTGCATCTGGGTTCACTAGGGTTTAGGATGGAGGGAGGGGCTGCGTGATCACTTACGGACAGAAAAGTGACACGGACGAGGTACACATTCGCGCTGTCCACAGGTTCCTGTGTGCAGGGATGATGCCATCCATCGGCCATCAACAGGACTCAGGTGGAGCTGTTTACACAACCTCGGGTGGGAAGCCTGAAGAGAGCCAGCACCAAGCCCCCTTTAGTCCCTCAGGGACCAAGGCTACTGCTGTGGCAGTAGACCGTAGGTCAGAAAGTTCTCCCAGCTCACAGAAGCCAGCTCTGAGTTCAGACTCTGCTCTCCGGAGCTAGTCAGCCCTACCTCTTGTCCCTGCAAAACTCCCCTCCACTCTCCTTGCTGCCCCTCCCCCTGCCCCATGTAGCCATTTACACAGGCAGTCTAAGGCACTACCACCTAAAACCATAGAACACCAGAGATCCGGGCAATACTTCCACTTTACAGGTGGGGAAACTGAGGCCCAGAGAATGGAAGGCCTTGCCCAAGATTACTCAGTCAAGAATCAAGTAGTGGCTGGGCGTGGTGGCTCACGCCTGTAATCCCAGCACTTTGGGAGGCCGAGGCAGGCGGATTACAAGGTCAAGAGATGGAGACCATCCTGGCCAACATGGTGAAACCCCGTCTCTAATAAAAATACAAAAATTAGCTGGGCGTGGTGGCGTGTGCCTGTAGTCCCAGCTACTTTGGAGGCTGAGGCAGGAGAATTGCTTGAACCTGGGAGGCAGAGGTTGCAGTGAGCCAAGATCGCGCCACTGCACTCCAGCCTGGTGCCTGGTGACAGCGCAAGACTCTGCCTAAAAAAAAAAAAAAAAAAAAAAAGAATCAAGTTGTAAAGAATACTGAAAGATAGTGAAGAATCAAGACTGGAACCCAGTCCGTCTGAACCGGGTCCTGGGGGCTTTCCACTTTATCACAAGCAGTGGGTACTGTCACAAGTACAGTGCTTCACACACCCTGGTTCAGGGCCACGTGCACAAGCACACAGGCGCACACACACACTACTATCCTCCATCCCATCCACCCAGACTCCTCAGGCTGAAGTCTCTTTTCTCACCCTTATTACTGGGCTGTCTGGGGGCATGTGTAACTCGGGAAATGAGAAATCAGCAACCACCTGGAGCCACGGAAGGCATCTCTCTTCACCACAGTTGCTCACCTCTCTTTTGACAGAAAATCGTGAGGCACTGAATGGCCCAACCAGGCCCTCAGTACCTCTAGAGTCCCTGCAAGAGTCCCTGTGCAGAGCCAACGACCCCTGGGCGTCAGGACCCTGGACTCCCACTGATTCTCCATGTTCTCTTGCCCTGTGTAGCTGTGCTTTCTCACTGCAAAGGAAGTGTTGGAGGCCAGGGTGTTTTCTAGCTCCATCCCGGGGCTCCATGACCTTCAGAAGGCAGGCACGACCCCATATCTCCTTCACTGTCCAATATGGCAGTCGCATGTGGCTATTTACACTAAAATTAAAAATAATTAAAATCGAATAAAATCAATGCGGCTACTGGTCACTGCACTGGACAGCACAGATATAGAACATTTCTATCATTGCAGAAGTTGTGTTAGGCAGAGCTGGATTCTGGACAGCAGTAAGCATAGGAGCCTTGTGGCTGAGAGGTGCCGGGATAGACCAAAGAGGTAACTGGGGAAATAGCAAAGGGCCCCTTCTCTGAAGGTGCTTTTCTGGGTGGGGCAGTGAGGGATGGTGACTAGTGAGATCCCTGAGGCCTCACTATAGCAAATAGGGCCGGCAGCCAACAGAGCCCTGCTCAGGAGGTGGCAGAGAATGACCAAAGGAGAGTCTGGCTAGTAGAGGGACTTGGAGCCGGCCTGGCCTCTCTCCAGGCTCCTCCCCACAGCAACCCTTCCCCAGACACCTTGTCACCCCTTCCCCTTCCTTCCCACCCCCAGCCAACACCACGCCTTGCTTTGGCCTTGTAGCTGCGCCAGGCCTTTAGTTCTCCTCCCGGGACGTGGGCAGGGTCTGTCCACTTCACACCCCGAATGCCCAGCAAAGCACTGGGCTCAGGGATACCCACTGGCCTAACTACCCAGCCCCATTCACACGCTCAGGATGGGAGGGAGGCTTTAACTCAGTCTTGCCCCAACTCCTGCCCAGGATGTGCCCAAACACTCCAACGTCCTGGCTGCTCAGTGGCCTGCCAGGGGACAGCACAGTCTGCTGGACTGGCACACATCCCAACGCCATCACCCAATGTCCCCTCTCCACGGAGTGTGTTTCTGTTGGGGATGGGAGGTTGCCTGAGGGGGCTCTCTGCAGGGAAGCACCTTTGAGATGCAGCAGGGGTCGCCCCTGCAGAGTCATTTCCTGGGGTCCGGGGACAGGGTGGGGGCAGGGAGCAGGGGCACAGAGGGGCGAGCCCAAGCTGACGTCGCGGGAGCAGCGGATCTCTCCATTCCAGGATGAGGTGGGGGCGCAGAACGAGCCCTCCCCAGCCTCCTCCCCCAGGCTACCGGGAGAGAGCAGGAGTCTCCCTGCGTCGGAGGCCGGGAAGCGAGCCTCGGCGGGGACCCGGGCGGGGCGGAGCCAGCGGAGGCCCCACCCCCGGCGTCACCGGGCGCCGGGGCCCCCTAGGGGGCGTCGCCCCCGCCCCCACCCCGCGCTCCAGGTAGCGGCGGCCGCAGCTGCCGGCGTTGGCTGGCTGCGCTCCCCAGCGGCCCGCGGGCCGGGGCAGGGGCGGGCCGGGGGCGTTCCCGCGGGCCGCCGCCCGTGATGTCACAATCGCGGCGGGCCGCGGCGCTCCGGGGTCGGCGGTGGGCGGCGGGCCGCGAGCGGGCGATCGAAGCGGGCAGCTCGCGCCTGAGTCATGGACTTCCCCTGGCCCCTCCTCTACCCCTCCCACTCCCTCGCCGGGCCCCCCCGCCGGGGCTAGCGTCGGCCGCGGCTCCGAGGGGGTGGGGCTGCTGGGAATGGCTGTGCCCCCTTCGGCCCCTCCGCCGCGCGCGTCCTTTCACCTGAGGAGGCACACGCCTTGCCCGCAGTGCTCATGGGGCATGGAGGAGAAGGCGGCGGCCAGCGCCGGCGGCCGGGAGCCGCCGGGCCCCCCGAGGGCCGCCGCCGTCGCGTACTTCGGCATTTCCGTGGACCCGGACGACATCCTTCCCGGGGCCCTGCGCCTCATCCAGGAGCTGCGGCCGCATTGGAAGCCTGAGCAAGTTCGGACCAAGGTAGTGGAGTGGGCTCGGGGCCGAGGATGGGGCCCTGCCGGGGCTGCCACGAGGATGCGGGGACCCAGTCCTCCCATCCTTCCGGGGTGTCGGTCCCAGGGGTGCACGGCTGCTGCGCAAGAAAGGTTTGGAACGTGGTTTGTGTATGGATCTGTTTCGTCCCTAAGCAAAACTAGGCTTACACCTCCCTCGGCCCTGCACACGCCCCCCTCCTCGTGGGGCTCTTGGGCACGCTGGGTGGCCACCCGCCCAATGTCGTTTGCGAGCCGCACCCCCTGGCGCTGGGTGCTGGTGCCCCTTGCTGCCCAGAAGCGCGTATACAGCCAGCTCTGAAACCTGAGGAGGCGTGAACTTTTAAGAGACCCCCCCCAACGCACGCATACATTTCTGCCCCACCCCATGGTGGGGGCAAATCCTACAGGCTCTGAGCTGCCTCTATGAGTCCCTGGAGCCACCCTGTGGAATTCCAGCTAGCACCCAGCCCCTCACCATAGCTGCAGGCTCAGGCCCAGCACCCCCCAACACAGGCCATCTTCCCCAGCGCCAGCTGGCCACAGGTCCCGGGACACATCTGTGGACAGAGCCATCCACTGAACCCACTCTCACAGCGGCTCCATGCAGTGGGCATTCTGGGGTGGGGTGGGGGCAAAGTTGTGGAGAGGTTCTAAACGAAGTGTGGAGGCTGACAGACCCCCCCCAGCCCTGGGGAGGGAGTAGCATTTTCAAAATAAAAGGTCCAGTTTGGTGTAAGACTGGCAAAGCATCAAGCAGGCCTGAGGTTAATTCCAGCACTGACATAACATGCCATCTGCCCTCCCCTCTCCTGCCTCAGTTTCCCTACCTAGAATTGGTTCAGATGACCTCTAAGGCCCTCCCAGCTCTGTCCCATTGTGCCCCATAAATCCATGATTCCTTTCTCCTTATCACCCTGCTGTCCAGAGAACCTTGCTCACAGCTCAGTTGTCTCCTGCCTTTTCCGGTCAGGACCTCTGACCACTAAAGTCCTGGGATGGGTGCCAACCTTAGTGCCCTCCTTGTACCTCTGCCACTGGATGGGGCACGAGGTAGAGCAGACCCCACTGCCTGGCACAAGGTGAGAGGCAGCTGGTCAGGATGTTCTGTTCTGGACAACTCCCAGCCCTCCCCTGCCACATTCTGGTCCATGGGGTTTCTTTTGGTGCTGGGATGGAGGGTAAGGAGCGGGAGGGGGCCTTTGCCTCCCAAGTAGTGTGGAAATTTTTCCACTGCCAAATCCCATTCACTAGAGGCAGACCCAGGAGTGTGTGGAAGCTGAACCCAAGCTACATTTTTTTTTTCTTGAACTCTATAGAGACTGGAGACCCCAAAGGTTGGGGACAGAGTGGAGCATGAGTGACTTGGCTAAAGCACTGGGGGCTTGGGGTGGTTGTGCTCAGCATTCAAATGAGCACCTCCTGCAGGAGCTACAGAGCCTTGGGGAGAGACCAGAGGGACCCTGTCCCACCCCCACCCACGCACTGCCCTCTCCCCATGCCAGCGCTTCACGGATGGCATCACCAACAAGCTGGTGGCCTGCTACGTGGAGGAGGACATGCAGGACTGTGTGCTGGTCCGGGTCTATGGGGAGCGGACGGAGCTGCTGGTGGACCGGGAGAATGAAGTCAGAAACTTCCAGCTGCTGCGAGCACATGGCTGTGCCCCCAAACTCTACTGCACCTTCCAGAACGGGCTGTGCTATGAGTACATGCAGGGTGTGGCTCTGGGGCCTGAGCACATCCGTGAGCCCCGGCTTTTCAGGTGAGGAGGGTGCCAGGGCCTCTGTCTCTACTATTCTTCAGGCCTTGGGCTTGGAAATCTTTGGCATGTGGGGTCCGTAGTGGAGACTTGTAAGATCTGTGAGTTCCCTGAAATTACATAAAAAATGCATGTTTATATGCATTGCTCGGCAGAGAACGGCTATAGCTTTCCATGGATTTTAAGCGGTGTCTGCTAGAAGGATGGGTTCTGGGGGAGGAAAGGAAAAATTGTCATGAGGATGGGACCAGAGGACCTGGTTCCCTAAATGCAGCAGAGGTCTGCTTCCTGGTAACGTACCTCAAACCTCTGCCCACTCCAAGTCTGACCTGGAAACATCTCAGAGCCTTAGAAACTAAATCTGAGCCAGATCCCCAGGGCACTCAGGGCGTTCTACCTCTGTCTCAGTTTGTCAAGGAAAATGGGCCCTATCCAGGGTGAGCATGGTTTACCAGCCCAGGGAGATGCTACCTCTCCTGCCAGTCTGAGCTCCTTCCGGGCTCCCTAAAGAGGTGGGAACCCAGGTTTGGGGAACTGTCAAGGCCTCCTTTCAAAGGCTCACAACAACCTGTGGCTCCTGGGGAACCCCTCCCAGTAAATGCTTGGATGTGGTGGGCCCAGGAACTGGACTTTTCCTTCAAGCCTTGGGGATGCCCTAGAGCCTAGAAAGGGGGAGGACCAAAGAAGGATCCCTAGTATCTCCCTCTCCTCTGTGCCAGAACAAGGGTGGCAAGCAGTGTCCTCCTTCCTCCCTCCAATGTCACGACCCACATGGAGGGCACTGACTTGAGTGAGGCCCAAGGCAGGCTGGAGTTTACTCCTGCCACTGGGACAGGGGCACAGGGGCCTGCCTAGGAGCCTTGGCGTCTGCCCAGGCTAATCCAAGGGAAGGAGGCCTCACTTACTGAGGGGAAACAAGTACACCTGTGGGTAGAGCAAGAAGCTTCTTTGCTTCATCACCTGCCACCCACGTAACCCCAAGTGCATGTGGCTCTGTTTGTGTATGCCTTGCAGGGACTCAGAAGAAGAGGATCTGAGAGCCCCTCCACCCTCATGCTCCTAAGCTGCTGGTCGGGTGGCATATTTCAGTTATGTATTGTAGCTGTGTGTATGTGTGTATCTTGAGGGTGTGAGGCATACAAACCTATGCAAGGGTGTTTGCAGGTTCTAGCTGAACAGGTCCAAAAGTACCCAGACTAGAAATGTGAAGCCACAGCAGGGTACAGGGGACCCTGTCCTGACTTCTGCCACTGCACTCCTCCCAGCGCTCCCTCAGTCTGGGCAAATAAGCTCGGATATCGGCAGGTCTCACCACTCCCAGGATCCCTCCGCCTCTATGTATCCGAGGCTGTCACTCATCCTCTCATGAAAACAATTACCATTGTCAAGAAGATTGAAGCTAGATTTAGATTCCCTAAGAAGAAGAATATGGCATCTGGGGGAGAGCCAGAAATTGGGATAGGTGTAGGAGGTAGGCCCTTCCTTGATGATTTTCCCAGGATAGACCATCATTTCTCTGGGTGAAGGTGGATGTCTTCGGGGAAGGCCTCCAGGAGCCACCCCTCTACATGTTCCCTTGAACCCCACCCCCAGCCTCGGCTTGCTGAGGCTTTGCAGCATGAAAATGCTGAGTGTTGAGGTTACTTTCATTGCTATTCCAGACAACAGCCCTATTGATATTCAAGAAAACGCTCTGTTCATGCTCTGTTCCGAATCTTCCTTTGGGAAGGGAAGGCCTGAGTCTCAGGTCTGTTTCCCTGCCTTGCCCAAACCCTGGTGGGTTCCCTTCTTCTGCCCCAGGGCTCTGGCCTCTGAAAGAAAGCACAGCCTTCCTCTCTCACCCACGTGGTTGCTGCCCCGCCCCTTGTCTCCTCTACCCTTTAGGAGGTGGGGGCCTTGGGGACTTCCAGAGGAACCCCAAAACTGCTCTGTTATCCCAGTAGGATATAGCCTGTCTCTTTCCAGAGCCTGGCAAGAGAGAGGATGTCCATGAAACAGCTTGGTAACAAGGTTTCAAACAGCCAATGCCTTTGTTGTCTTTCCCAGTGATTGTTTTTCGAGCAACAGGCAGAGGCTGTATGTTGGAAGGAAGCTGACTGTTGGAGGCTTAGCAGACGGTTGGGGGGTGGGGCTGCAGAAGGGAGGACTGGCAGGGGACTGGGAGGGCCCAGATGGGACACAGGGCCTCTGGCGATGGGGTCCTTATCAAGGCCCTCCTTCTCTGACTGGTCAGCCTTCCACTCACCCCCACCTTCTCCCAGCAACCTTCCCTACCACCCACTCCTCTCCTGAGACCTTGGATAATGTCCACAGGAGAACTTGAAAATAGAACGCTGGTTTGTTTTGCGTCCTTGGCACTCAGCCGCCAGCATTAACTCCCCATAGCCGAGGAAGGGGCTGCCCTGAGCCAGTCTGTTTTCCTCCCCACCTTGGCCAGGCTGATAAGAGGCAGGCATTTCTTCCCTGCCTGGCATCACCACCCCCGATCTCTTGGTGCAAAGTGATCTATGTTCACGTACCCTGAGAGGATGGGTCAGAGTCCAGGGGGAGGAGAAGCTGCCCCACCCCCACCCCCCAAGTGCCCCTCTGTTCTCAGGGGTAGCCGTGGGTACACTGGGGTAAGGCAAGGCCACTGACCTGTGACCAACAGCCCACTGCTCTACCCTTCTGCTCCCTGAGGCAGCCCCAGCCTGACACTGGAAAGGGAGCTGCTACCAAGCTGCGGTCTTAATTTATTTTCCTTCCTTCTGCCGAGACCTTCCTTCTGTGGGACCTGTGCTCCTAAGGGACTTGCAATGATCCCATCCTTGGCCCTCTGGCTAGTGCCGTGGTGGGCCAGGAGGGGATGAGTGGGGAGGGCATGTCCCAGCACTGATGCTCTACTCTTCCTGTTCCCTGCTGTAGGTTAATCGCCTTAGAAATGGCAAAGATTCATACTATCCACGCCAACGGCAGCCTGCCCAAGCCCACTCTCTGGCACAAGATGCACAATTATTTCACGCTTGTGAAGAACGAGATCAACCCCAGGTACAAAGATCTGGGGGGGTCCAAGGCTGCCTTAATGTGATCCCCCTTCCCCATACTTTTGGTTTCAGCCCACCCTTCCAGGAGGTTTAAGGACCCAGGTCCTGGGAGGGGGCTGGGGAGTTTCCCCTGCAGTCCCTTCAGTCCTAGTTGCTAAGCCTCTGTCTCCAAGCAGAGTTGGGCCCTTTGATTAAATCTCAGGAGCTTAGATGAGCAGTTTTATACTGGTGTGCTCATTTCTCCTTGACTCTCTGATTGTGGCAGGGACCAGGGTTGGGGACGTTTCCCCATTTTACTTAGCGGATGCTGAAGCTGAGACTGAGCTTGGTCCAGTGTTACAGGGCTTGTGAGAGGCAGGGCTTCTGTTTCTCAGCCCAGGGCTGTTTCCACTTGCCCTGCCTTCTGAACCATGAGCAGGGCAGGGCCCTCAGAATGAGGTGGGACTGAACTTAGCGTCAGAGGAACTCAACTCATCAGCTGACAAGCCCTTGGGACATCAAGGTTCCTGCTACTTCCTAAGACCTTTCTTGTCCCCATGTGCCTTTGGGGACTGTGCCCCCACCTTGCTCAGACTGACAGCTTGCTGCTTCCCTCACTGCTCTTCCCAAGAAAGGAGGTAGACCCCCAACCTGACATTGCCTTTCCCCAGGGAAGACAGGGTTCCCTGAGTTTTCCCTTAAGCGCTTGGACCAGCAACCTGAGAGTCCTGTAAACCTTTAGACACCTGACTCCTCAACACACCCTGAGTGCCGAGGAAAAGATGGAGGCCTGGAGGAAAGACTGGTGTCTTGCCTTCCATCCTCCAAATAAAAGGCAGGAGTGAGTCTCTGATTCCTTCACACTCCTTGCTGGGATTGGCTATCACCCATGTTCCAAATGTTCATGGGAGCAGGGTGCAGAAGAGGTTTAGGGGGAAGGATGTGTCTTCCCTCTTCTAAGATGACAAGATAATAATGAACTCCATCCCCATTTGAGTATGTCTCTGTCACCCACATGCATGACTGTATCCGCATCCTCCCACGCTATGCTTACCAGGCTCTGTGTTGGGACTGTTTGTCCATGGTGGCCCAGGCCTGCCCTCTCTTTGACCACGTTCAGACCTTGTATGTCAGATATTCTCTCTGGGACAAGGACTTCCTTTTCCCTCAGGGCTAGAACAGTTCACAGAGAACAGGTCCTTCCAATCCTTCAGCCCACAGCTTTTATTTGACCGATGGAAAACCGAGGCCCAGGGAGGGGATGGGACTTGCCCAGGGTCGCTGATCAGTGGCAGTTCGGGAACTAGAGCCAGGCCTCTGGTGCTCAGACATGGTCCTGAATACTACAGCTTCCTTTGACGGTGCTGCCACTGTGTGACCTTCAGGGGTAACGTTATTGGGAGGGAGTAATCCCTGGAGGAGAGCTGGCCCAATCCCTTTGCTCCTGTCACACCTTTGAACCTTGAACAAATCAAGTTGCTTAACTTCTTTGAGCCTCTTTAGGGGATGATCCATGCCCTAAGCTGCCTGACTGCCCAAAAGCAGAGCCTCGATGAGCAATCATTTAGACAAGATAAGCACCTGGAGCTCCAGGCATTGCCTAATAACCCTGGATTATTCAGTCCTTCATTTCACAGACATTGATTGACTGGGATTTAAAACAATTTAAAAATGAATGTGACATTGGCCCTGCCCTCAAAGAGCTTAAGAGCCATCTGGGTATACAGGGCACGGCCATGCACAGATGCACAAGAAGCCAGGGTGTGTAATGTATGCTGGTGGTGGGAGAACCCGGGGAAGTTGTCTTGGCAGAGGTGGCGTGGCAGAAATGAGCAGGGAGGCTACTCCAACTGGAGGAGATGGCTGGAGCGGGGTTTGCTTATGAGTGACGAGTAGATGAGGTTGGCTGGAGCAGATCTTTGGGAGGACTTGACTCTTAGAAAAGCCTTGTGGGGAGAAAGTACTCTTGCCTGCCCAGATCCTGACAGTGGAGTGGAGACTGGCCAGGCAGCAGTCCCAGTATCAGGAGGAACCCCAAGTCTTCCCTAAGAGACCTGCAGCCCCTTCCTCACCCTCCTGCTGAGTCTGGGGCAGAGGAGCAGGAGGAGCAGTTTTTCCTGGGCAGTGTTTCTGGGATGCGGTGGTGGTTACTCTTCTGCCAATCCCACAGCCTTGAAAGAGCCCCATGGTGGCGGGACTGAAGGTAGCAAAGCTGGCGATGTTTCAAGTGCTCAGGAGAGGGAAGCGGAGCAGTGAGGGAGGCCCTGGGGAGACGGAAGGCCAGGACTGTTCCCACAGTAACCATCTTCATGGCCTTGGGGTGGGCAGGGTGGGGGTTAGGTTGAGGTCAGGGACACAGCAGCAGGCATCTTGGATGTCAGAGCCATGTTTTTCAGTTTGGGACCTGAGCAAATCAAAGGAGCCCTCCCAATTCTTCTCTTTTGATGGTCAGTCTAAGAAAAAAAAAGGAATCTTAAAAGGTACCTTCTTAAGGAGAGTCAAGACTGAAACATATCTTATGCAGACCTGTCGACACAGATAAACTCCAGGAAGCGTGGGGGAGGCCTCCCCCATATCACTCCTCCCAGCGGACTCCTTGGACTCAAAGAGGCCTTTGCAGAGCCTCTGAAGGGCACCCAGGCCTTCAGAGAGAGTACACAGCCTTCACAATTAGAAGACTCTATTCAATTTGAATCCTTGGACAGGCCAAGGACTGCTTTCCTTAGACAAGGAAGTAGAGGACCCAGCAGTGCAAGAGATGTCTGGAGGCTGGGAGGAAGCCTCTTTCCTTCCCTGAGCCTCAGTTTCCCCATGGGGCTGGACTAGATGACCTCAGATCTTTTTTTTTTTTTTTTTTTGAGACAGAGTCTCGCACTGTCACCCAGGCTGGAGTGCAGTGGTACATTCTCAGCTCACCACTACCTCCACCTCCCAGGTTCAAGAGATTCTCCTGCCTTAGCCACCCGAGTAGCTGGGATTACAAGTGCCCACTACCACGCCCAGCTAATTTTTTTTTTTTGTATGTTTATTAGAGATGGCATTTCACTATGTTGGCCAGGCTGGTCTCGAACTCCTGACCTCATGATCTGCCCACCTCAGCCTCCCAGAGTGCTGGGATTACAGGTGTGAGCCACCGTGCCCGGCCAACCTCAGATCTTCTTTAGCTTTGACCTTCTCAAAGCCTGGAAGGGAGCCTGTCCTCTCTTCCTTCCCTGGTGGGGACAGAGGGGTGCCTCAGTCACTGAATACTCTTCCTCGTGTTCTGGCCTCTGGGCTGGGTTAGGGAGCAATTGGTCTGTCCTGTGAGAAAGTGAGAGAGGGCCAGTCTCATTCTTATCCTCCTCTACGTGCTCTTGCTGCCCTGAACAGAGAAACACAAACAGGTGACACGGGAATGGAGATCAAAGCCCAGCCTCCTCCTCTCTGCCCATTGGTGGTTCTAGGTTTTTAAGGACTGCGGTAAGTGTTTGGCCTTTTCAGTGTACACAGACCTGTGTGCCTCCTGGGGACAAAAGTTCAGAGCACACGAGGACAGCACATCCTCATCAGACTTCCACGTGGCCTTTAATTTGATTGATTGGCTGGTTTCTTCATTCCCCAACATGTGTTTCTTTCAGCAGGAAGGACTGCTGGGTGCATGGGTTGGGGGTGGTTCAGAAGGAGAGGTGGACCCATGCATCTTTGTTCATGCTGCCAAGTTGCCTGTGCATGGTCTGGCAGGGGTCTGGGACCAGGGAACACGTACTCATAACTCAAGGTAGAAGGGATGAGTCACTGGGGAGCCCACAAAGCAAGCATGCTCTCATTGAAGGCGTTAGCATTCCTTTAACAATATAGGAGTGAACTAAAGAAGCTCTTTGTGGCCGGGCATGGTGGCTCACGCCTGTAATCCCAACACTTTGGGAGGCCAAGGCAGGTGGATCACGAGGTCAGGAGTTCAAGATCAGCCTGGCCAAGATGGCGAAAGCCCACCCTTACTTGTATTATTTTGAAAATACAAAAATTAGCCGGGCATGGTGGCGGGCACCTGTAATCTCAGCTACTTGGGAGGCTGAGGCAGAGAATTGCTTGAATTCGGGAGGCGGTGCAGTGAGCCAAGACCACGCCACTGCACTCCAGCCTGGATAACAGAACGAGACTCTGTCTCAAAAAAAAAAAAAATAGTTCTCTGTTCGCTTTCTCATATGAGCCGATGGTCTGTCTGTGAGATGACAGGTTAGACCAAAAAGTCCTAGGATTAAGAAGATTTTAATTAAAAAGAAAAAAGAGAAGAGAGGGTTAGAGCAGCCCGTCTCTCTGGTCCCTTCTACCTGTGACACGGTGAGCTGCTGGGGTGAGCGGGGGCACACCAGGACATACTTCTGCCTCCTCAACAGAGCTCCATTGCTCCAGCTCCCTGCCAGGGCCCTGCTCTTCCTCCCAGGGAGGAGCTTGTGGGAGAGTCTCGACAGGCAGCGGCACCTCCTCCTGGCGAGTTTTCCCAGCATCCTAAGAGCGGGTCTGTTTTGCATCCCTCCCCACTGCTCCCGTTGCCCTTGCTCTCTCTTATTCTGGAATCCCCAAGTCTGGACACTTGTTCTCGCTGGCCCTGTCCTTTCCCTGTGTCTCCTTCCTTACCCTCCTGTCCCTTTCACAAAGTAGCAGGGATGCCCTCAGCCAGCGACTTTTATGCCCTGCCTCATGCTTTGATGCCCATGTCTTAATCAGCTTCCTAGTGTAACCAGAGAAGTCAGATGGACAGGAAGCCTCAGTGCCATTTTACAGATGATAAAAGTGAAGGTCTGAGAGACCGGCCGTTTTCCCAGGGTCCCCTGCAGTAAGACGGAGGGAGTGATGAGGCTCGCACTCAGGGCTCTTGAGGCCAAGCACCTCCCTGTCTATCCGCCCTCCCTTCACTGGCTACCTTTTTTTTGCCACTGCCCAGCCTTTCTGCAGAGGTCCCTAAGGTGGAGGTGTTGGAACGGGAGCTGGCCTGGCTGAAGGAGCATCTGTCCCAGCTGGAGTCCCCTGTGGTGTTTTGTCACAATGATCTGCTCTGCAAGAACATCATCTATGACAGCACCAAAGGTATGGCTTCTCTGGCCCTGGGACAAGCAAAAGGAGACCTGCATTTAGGTCTTTATTTTTATTTTTATTTTTTAAGAAACGGGGTCTCATTATGTTGCCCAGGCTGGAGTGCAGTGGCTATTCACAGGTGCAGTCCCACTACTGATCAGCACGGGAGTTTTGACCTGCTCCGTTTCAGACCTGGGCTGGTTCACCCCTCCTTAGGCAACCTGGTGGTCCCCCATTCCCGGGAGGTCACCATACTGATGCTGAACTTAGTGCGGACACCCGATCGGCATAGCGCACTACAGCCCAGAACTCCTGGGCTCAAGCGATCCTCCCATCTCAGCCTCCTGAGTAGCTGGGACTACAGGCACGCGCCACTGCGCCTGGCAGATTTAGGTCTTAAGTTAATTTGTAGGAGGGAAGGGGAAAAGCAAATAAAAATTTCCCACTTTGAAAAATCCGTGCCAAGGGCTGGGCACAGTGGCTCATGCCTATAATCCCAACAGTTTGGGAGGCCAAGGCATGTGGATTGCTTAAGCCCAGGAATTCAAGACCAGCCCAGGCAATGTGGTGAAACCCCGTGTCTACCAAAAAAATACACAAAACTTTGCCCAGTATGGTGGTGCATACCTATAATCCTATCTGCTCAGGAGGCTGAGACAGGAGGATCACTTAAGCCTGGGAGGTGGAGGTTGCAGTGATGGAGCCACTACACTCCAGCCTGGGTGACAGAGTAAGACCCTATTTAAAAAAAAAAAAATCTGTGCCAAGAAAGAACTCAAAATCATGGTTTGCGGAGGTCCTCAATACTAGGGCACTTAAGCCATTACTCCTGACAATTCTGGACTTCTGAGAACACTGTGGCTGTCCTGAGCCTTCAGGGAAGGAGGGGGGTAGGGGAGAGTTGGGGGGGAGCGGGGAGAGAGGAGAGAGACACCAGCATATCTCCTGATGTTGCTGCTGAGAGCATCACTCCAGGGCGTATTAATACTTAGCTGTATTCCTGATCCTTAGCCTTGCTGAGGACAGATGTCTTCAGATGAGGAGAGCCTGAAGATCCAGCTGTGTGAGAGGGACACTGGGAGCTGGGAAGGGCAGATAGAAGGATGGAAGGAAGTAGCTTAGAAGACTGCCGCAGCGATGGGGTTGGCAGGATTGCTGCAGAGGCCGGCATTGGTCAGTGGGTGCATCCCAGAGGTCAGTGGAAGCTTGACCAGGCCAGTTTCCAGATCTCCTGGGCCAACGCTCATCGACTGTCCTCTGTTTCATAGGTCACGTGCGGTTCATTGACTATGAATATGCTGGCTACAACTACCAAGCTTTTGACATCGGCAACCATTTCAATGAGTTTGCAGGTGAGAGGGGCATTGCTACCGTCACGTGCTGCGTAGCGACGTGTCAATGACTGACCGCATGTAGATGGTGGTCCTATGAGACTACTGTATGTTTGTGGTAACAGGTACCATATTTTTACTGTACCTTTTCTATGTTTAGATATGTTTAGATGAAGAACTACTTAGCACTGTGTTATAGTTACCTACAGTATTCAGTACAGTGACATACTGTACAGCTTTATAGTCCAGGAGCCACAGGCTGTACCGTGTAGCCTGGGTGTGTAGTAGGCTGTCCGTCTAGGTTGTGTACGTACACTCTGTGATGATCACACAAAGTCACCCAATGGTGCGTTTCTCAGAAGGTATCCCTGTCATTAGGCAATACGGGACTATATTTGGCCGATGTTCAAAGCACCCTGTTTATGATGGGGACCAGGGCCGGGGCATGGGGAGGGCCAGAAGTGGTTCTGTACTTGGAGGGTAGAGGCTAGATAGCTTTTGTCCTCCAAAATATCACAGCTTGAGTGGTTAAGGCACAGCCTGCTTTTAGAGAATTCCAAGTCTCGTTGGGGAACCAGGACTGACATACACAGGGCAGACCTCTCTTAGCCCATATGGCACTTTGGTACCAACTAAGCAAATGTGACCTCTGTAGGATCCCTGAAGATACTCAGCTTGGTACACAAATTAGAAAAAGACCCCTTCCTCCGGGTGGACACAGACAATTGCTGTGGCTTGGCTGCCACAGCACAGGATGACTCCAGCCTCCACTCCTTTGTCCAAGCTCCTTTATGCCCAGTGCGACTGGCGAAGTTGTACATGGGGGCCTTCCATACAGATAAGGAACAGAACAAGCTGCAAGCAGCTGTTTGCCTGGTAGCCTGATGAGAATCATCTAAGTAGAATCTAAGTATGTGCTATGTAATTTGACTCCCTTAGTTCAGTTCCTGGCTTTGCTGCTTACTGGCTGTGTGACCCTTGGGCAATTTATTTACCCTCTCTGTGCCCCTGTAAAATGGAGATCATAATAGTTCCCACTTCATAGTGTTGATATGAGATACACACACACACACACACACACACACACACACACACACACACACACA